TTTCAAGATTATTATCACTCGTCATTATTTCATTTTCTTTTTTACATGAGAAACTGTTTCTTCTTGGATTGAAACCTTTATCCACAACTAGTCTATCATTGCAACTCTTTACTTTGGTATGGCTATGAGATCTTTAATGGCATTTGAAGAAAGATCGAGTCCTTCGATAATCTTTGTAATTGCATTTTTTTTTTTATGAACGTCATATCAACATTCTCCACATTTATTGCAAAGGAAGCGAGAGGTAGCCAAGATAGCACATACTTGGTTCGCTAAACAATTTTAGCTATAAGCAATAATAATTTTTTTTTCTTTTTTCTAAAATGCTTTGACAAATGAAACGACATCCCTTTCTATCTTTTAATTTGTCTATTTGATCAAAACCCTACTAACCCATCCTCCTTCGTATATTAGTAAACTGTCGCCAAATACCTTCGTATATTAGTAATTATAGCGACAGTTTGGGTAAACCATCACTATAATTCAATTTTAAAAAATTCATTTTTTCCTTTCTTATTATGGTAAAAAAAAAATATTAAAACTTTCTCATAGTAAAGGAACTTATTAATTTATTTCTATAAACCACAAGAACTCAACAATACAATTTAAATAAGTTTTTTCCTTTCTTATTTTCTTATAAATCATTTTGAACATATTTGATTATAATAATAATAATAATAATAATAATAATAATAATATATTAAGTTGTTACTATTTTTATGGCACATTAAATTATATCCATCAAATTTAAATTCAATAATTTTGATTTTAGTAATATGACGGTCATGTTTTTAAGAAAATGTGAAAGAATGTGAATCCATTTAAAATATTTAGGATATATAGTGATTAGGAGTGGTTGAGAAAGTGAAAAATATTAAATTAATGCTTTTATTAATCCAAAGGTGTCCCAAGAACGCTCTAATCAGGAATGCGTTGCTCACATTTGAACCACGATTGACCGGACGAAATCATAGTACTACATATCCAAAACTAGCAAAATCGAAGGATATTCCTATTATAAACAACGACAAAGGCATAGGCTTAGTAATTAAGGTGGGGCAATCACAACAGCAAGCAAGGTGGTACGTCATGTCACTGTTGATTCTTGGCATTATATATCATGTAAAACAGGCCCTACTGTTTCCTTCCAAGATTCAACGCTACATGGCGTTATATATAACCAACCACACACACACAAAGCCACATCCAAATTCGGTACCTGTCTTAACCATCTCCATCGTTGATGATTGATCAATAATAACGTTTTCTGTATAATCGTTGAAGTATTGGATGTGTTGTGTATTTATATATCTTTGAATGAAAAGGAAATAATTAATTAGTTTTTAAAACTTGTTTTGCAAAAATAAAAACAATTAATTTATAATTTACTCTAGAAAATCAGATAAAAACTAATTTAAGAGAAACGTATTTTCTACTGCTTCTCTTATGATATCCTTACGTATCCTTATGATAAAAGAAAAAGAGAAGCGCTAGCATGCCGTGTAAAGCTAATTCAATTCTATTAGGTTTCTGTTTTATATAACTTTAATTGGAAGGACCGAGTAGCCTCTCTCTCTCTTTCTCTATCTGAGAAATCAATTCTAAATATTGAGTAAAGCTTCTCTGTAAGTATTGTTGGTTTATATACGAAAACTACATTTAAATTTTGGATTTTATTTTGTTTACAATCGTAGATATGAAGATTCTCATCATATAAATGCTTTCTTTGCCACTACTACTAACATGCATTCAACCTTGATTACGCAGAAATGCTCCTAGGACTACAGATTTGTGTATACGGAGATAGATGACAACACAGTTCCAATCAGAGGAGGCTATTTGGTTACAACCCTCCCTATGATGATTTTAAAATCTTTGGTTGTTTATGTTATTGGTGGTTAAAACCATATGCCCATCACAAATTGGCACCTAGATCTTATGCTTGTGTTTTTTTAGAGTATAGCAAAGTTTCTAAAGATTATCTGTGTTATGATTTGGCAACTAAAAATTTTCATATCTCAAAGTCATGTCTTATTTGATTAACAGGTATTTCCTTTTGTGCTGTTAAATCCGAGTTCACCAATCGAAAATAATCTGTCAGAAACAATATCCGTTACTCTCTCTTCAACAAAAATCACTCTATCTCAAACACCATGCCCACAGTACCTAAATCACGTCCAAAACACTTACCCAAAGCATAGTGCAAAATGCCATACAAAAATCATGCAACCAAACGTGGACAGCCTTTAACCACACACTCTAGCCCATAATTTATCACAAAATCTTTCCATCTAGCAAACATGGAACTGCCAAACTTGCCAGCAGTCCCATAAGATGCACAACCCCCTACTTCGCCCTTGCAACCACATCCTGTAGTATATACTTAGTCCCTTCCCTTACCTCCAGTAGCTACTGATGTGCAGAGACAAAGCTTAGCCCCAAACACAAACCCGTCCCTTACTCAAACCATGCCAAACCACCTAGCCCAAAACCTGGAATCAACCATACTTCATCCACCTGCACAGCAGCCAACTCTAGCCCCCAACCAGACCGCAACCGTTGGCAAATCACTTGTGCTCTCAGTTATTACAACATAACAGACACTCACAAAAATTCCACAACTCACTAAAACTCAGCTCCATCCCACCCTATGCTCCCACGTGCCAAAACAGGAAGCTTAAAACCATGAAACTACTCCACCACTGTCCTTCCTTCAGAACCTCAGTCCTATGCTCAAGCACAACATCATAAACACTGGCAGATAGCCATGATAGATGAAATGAAGGCCCTACATCAGAATAAAATGTGGGATCTTGTTCCTTGCCACCTCTTCTACAACGTGATTGGAAACAAATGGGTGTACAAAGTTAAAGCCAAACCTGATGGCACTTTTGATCGATATAAGGCACGCCTGGTCGCAAAGGGCTTCGATCAACGCCCTGGTATCGACTTCAATGACACCTACAGTCCTTTGATAAAGCCAACAACTCTTCGTTTGGTTGTCTCCATTGTTGTTTCCCGTAGCTAGACAATAGATTAACTAGATGTGTGCAATGCCTTCCTCCATGGACCTTTTGAAGAAGATGTCTATATGACACAACTAATTGGCTTCATTGATCCCAACAGACCACATCATGTTTGCGAGTTGAACCGATCACTTTATGAGTTAAAGCAAGCACCACGACAATGGTTCAAATGCCTTCAAGATAAGCTGCTGTTCTTAGGTTTCAAAGGGTCACAAACGGATATCTCTCTCTTTTACAAGAAGTCTGCAACGGATATCACGTTTTGTTTAGTATATGTAGAAGATTTGCTTGTAATGGGTAGTAGTGGTCAGATGATTAGCTCCACCATTTCAGCTTTGGAAACTAAATTTGCTGTTAAACACTTAAGCCCGTTGCACTATTTTCTTAGGATATAGGCATAGTGGCAGTCCGGTGATCTCTTCCTTAACCAGCACAAATATGCTGCAAAACTCCTTCTCCGAGCTAACATGCATCAGGCTAATGGCTTGGGAACACAAGCATGCCCCAAACTCAGTAACACTTCGGGTAATGCATTTTCAGACCCTTTCCTTTACAAGAGTATTGTAGGTGGGTTGTAATACTTAGGTATTACTAGACCAGACTTAGCTTACTCTGTCAATAAAGTAGGTCAATACATGCATGCCCCCACTGAAACTCATTGGGCTGCTATTAAAAGAATACTCCGTTACCTTCAGGCTACCAAAAGCCATGGCTTACTTATTCAGAAATCATCTCCAATGATAATAAATGCTTACGTAGATGCAGATTAGGGTGGTGACACAGATGACCACAAAGGTATGTTTGGTTTTGCCATATATCTCGGTAAAAATTTAATCTCTTGACGATCTCAAAAACAGCGCATCATTGCTCGATCGTCGACTGAAGCTGAATATCGAGCCTTAGCAACCATATGTGCAGAAGTGGACTAGATAGAGTCCCTTTTGCGAGAAATGGGTAGGCTGAACCCTCTCCATCTATAGTCTGGTGTGACAATATCTCTGCAACATATCTCACCACAACTCCAATCTTTCACTCAAGGTCCAAGCATCTTGAGATTGATTTCCATTTTGTGAGAGATAAAGTACGACAAGACACACTAGAAGTTTTTTATCTATCTCCCACTGATCAGATTGTAGATGTCCTAACTAAGCCATTATCCAAAGCTCTGTTTCACAAGTTCAAATCCAAGTTGCGCATTGTTTCACCCCTGCACAACTTGCGGGAGGGTGATATAGTGGTAGAATTTTAGTGCAACCCGGTAACATAGGAGATAAAAATAAAGTTGTATTCTATTATTCTAGCTCTCATACTTTTCTCTATGGGTATACTTGTATATATATACTTCTGTAAAATCTTGTATAATTTACAGAGAAATATAACCTTATCACTTTTCACCCCTATTTTGGTGGGCGCATGAAACTTTGCCAAGTACAGCAAATCTGTTGAGTTATGAATGTATCATTCTGTCATTTGAGCTTAAACAACCTGTGAAAACCAAACTCCTCTAAACTCTCGTTTAACCATCCTTTCTCATTTCTGCATCAAGAAAATTCTTTCCATTGCCAATATTGCTTCTGACACTAGCTAGCTTCATAATTAGTATTTTCTTTCAGTTTGAACCGGCTTAGACCATGCCCAGGACCTGCCTGCTTTTAAGATGATTGATTTGTGTTCGAGTTTCAGAGCCACAAGCTGCGGTGAGCTTGTTCTAGGCAACCTGTGCAGTGGTGGCGCCAACGACCAAGGGGAGTACTGTTTCTGAGAGGGATCCAATGATCCATGTTTCCATAGTATATATATGGCATTCGGTTCACCATTGATGGTGTAGGGGGTTGCTGCTGGGAGGCATCTAAGTGATGCAGCAATCCATGACAATGCAGTAGGGGCTGGAATTGCGTTGTCCAAAGAATGAAATTTGTGGTTGTGAGTTTGAGAGAGAAGTGGGTGTTGAGATTAGGAAGAGAAGGTGCAGACATGGTAGGCGAAGTTGTGGGAGGGGATGCTGCTAGAGAATATGCTGAAGTTTGTTATGTTTCAGCAGCCATGGTGATGGCGTCTGTATGCAGGATGGCAGAGAGGGAAAAAAAAAAAAAAAAGGGGGGGGGGGATCGTAGACTTGTTAGGTCACTATATTTGCTCTGATACCATGATAAAGTTATATTTCTTTGTAAATTATACAAGATATATATATATATATATGAGAGCTAGAGTGATAGAATACAACTCTATCTTTATCTCTTATGTTAAGCACTGCAATTTTACCGCTGTAATTCTTATCCTTATAAAAAACAAAAGTTAAAATTAGCATGTGAATGTTTGGAGGTGAAATAAGGGGGAAAGTTTATCATAGAAACATTTCACCCGGTTTTATACTGATATTTGTTTGACTCATCATGTCATTTGGTATTTATTATTAGATAATATTGCAAGGAGAAGATTATGTAGAAGATCAAATGGAAGCAATCAAAGGAAACAATTAAAAAAATCAAATATTTTCTTATTGATTTTTACTTCATTTTAATTAATTGCTGCGTACATAATAATCTTCTTCTCACAATATTTTAGGCTCTGACAACCAGATGCTGGAATCATGCACCTCAAGCCTAGGTTAAAAAGAGAAACCATTCCAGGTAATTTCATTACCAATCAGCTAGTCTTAATATGCAGGTCTTATTTGAAAATTTCTATTGTACCAAACTGAGTGAAAAATCATGTGAAATAAATCATACTTCTCAGGCTTAGTATGCCAAAAGAACATGCTGCTGTACCTTCTCCGCTCTCATATGCATCTCAATGTATTTGTCTTCTATTTTAATTTACGAAGAAATATTTTCAATACGTTACAAGTATCTACAACTCGACAATTCATCCATGCACCTAACTGACGAAGGTAGAAGAAAGACTTGTGTATATTTACCGTCAACTGCTAACAGCGCATGTGGCTAGAAATGGACCACAGCCTCAAATTTGAAGTTCTGGCCCCTCATTTTTTAAAAATTAATCATTTTTTCTATGATTGTGAGATGTATTCCTCTAGTATGAGAGATTATTTAATAGCACTTATGGTTTTGTATCTGTTAATAACTTACTCCAATCATCTCTATTCAGGTTATGATCAACTGTCATAAATTTAGTGGTTTTTAATTTCAATAATGGCTTGCTTTTTTTTTTTTTTAATCAAAGAAATAAATAAAGCTGAATATCAATCTAATTTCGACATCCCCACTACACGCTAATCAAAAAAATTCAAAATAATCAAACCCACAAAAAATTCATCCTTTCATTCTCTTTCCTTTGATTTTCTCTTTCAAACTATCATAAAACCTAGTCATAACAACCAATCATCACAAGCAAACACCATCAAGCTCAAAAATTAGCAACACCACCTCTTTTTCGTAAAATCAACCACTTAACTGGATAGAGCTAAAAGATGAGATGAAAGTTTTAAAATTTTGAGAGATTGGGTATTTTGGGAAGGAAGAGGGAGTGGCATTTTTTTGGACATTAAAAAAAATAAAAATAAAAATCTGTTAGGTAAATGAAAATCAATCATGGTCGAAAAATATTAAAACTTTCTCATATTAAAGGAACTTATTAATTTATTTCTATAAACCACAAGGACCAATTCATAAATAACTCAACAATACAATTTAAATAAGTTTTTCCTTTTTTGTTTTCTTATAAATCATTTTGAATTAGAAAAATAAAATAATAATAAATTAAGTTGTTACTATTTTTATGGCACATTAAATTATATCCATCAAATTTAAATTTAAAAATTTTGATTTTAGTAATGCTGTCATAATCCTTTGCGCATCACATCAACTTAAAATAAAATTTAAGTTAAAAACATTCACATGTTAATATGATTTTTAAGAATTTATTTTATATATTTACTATTTACTATTAAAAGAACATATCAAAATAACCAATACGTGTTAAAGTTTATAACTTTATGATATAATAAGCTAAATAAAAGAAGAACTCATGTTTTTTCAAATCCAAGATCAGTCTGCTTAGTTCATCATGGCATGCAACTCTTTGACGAAACCACACAACATGTGCATATTTTCTCTCCTCGCAGTCCTGGACCTGGACGGTCAGACGGTACAAACCTAGTGATCAATAAGACATTTCATCAAAGCAAGCTATCGTATCTGTATGGTCATTTTCGATCTTCACTGTCGCATTAATTAATCAAAGCCAATAAAAAATTATCAAGGCCTTTAAACGTAACATAGCAAAGTTTGGGTTTTAAAAAAATTTGAAAGAATGTGAATCCATTTAGACTATTTAGGATAGATAGTGATTAGGTGTGGTTGAGAAAGTGAAAAATATCAAATGAATGCTTTTATTAATCCAACGGTGTCCCAAGAACACTCTAATCAGCAATGCGTTGCTCCCATTTGAACCACGATTGACTTGACGAAATGATCAGCACATATCCAAAACTAGAAAAATCCAAGGATGTTCCTAATATAAACAAGCACAAGGACATAGGGTTAGTAATTAAGGTGGGGCAATCACAGGAGCATGCAAGGTGGTACGTCATGTCACTGTTGATTCTTGGCATTATATATAATGTAAAATAGGCCCTACTGTTTCCTTCCAAGATTCAATGCTTCATGCCGTTATATACAACCAACACCCACCCCACCCCAACACCCCCCTCCCCCCAACAATTCATAACCATCTCCATCGTGATGATAGATTAATAGCTGACTTTTTTGTGTTCCCGTGTTCACCTCAAAGGGCAGACACGATGATCTTCGAATTCATGCATAATCATAAAAGGATTGGATGTATTGTGTATGTATATATGTTTGAATAAAAAGGAAATAATTAATTAGTTTTTTAATTTTTTTTGCAAAAATAAAAAGAATTAATTTATAATTTTACTCTAGAAAATCAGATAAAGACAGATATAAGAGAAGCGTATTTTCTACTGCTTCTCTTATGACATCCTTACGTATCCTTATAATAAAAGAAAAAGAGATGTGCTATCATGCCATGTCAAGCTAATTAAGATCTATTAGGTTTCTGTTTTTTTTTTTTAAATAAATAATAATAATAATAATAATAATAATAAATTATCAAATAAATCTCTCTTTTTGGTACAAGAGTTAGCTTGAGTAAAATGAGTTTAATATCTATAATATGTAATTTAAGATTTAAATCCTTATTGAGTAGCTATATTTATTTTGTGAATTTTATTGAATAATGAAACATTAGTTTAAACTTTTGCTTTTATGATATATTGAGAATAAAAACAAAAAAATCCTCCTTTTTAGAAAAAAGCAAAAAAAAAAAAAAAAAAAAAAAAAAGCAAGATTCTAAAATGACCGTATAATGCATAGTTTCTTTCTTGTCTATTATTGTCACAAGCCAATTGCTCAAGTTCCTACAATACATGGAGTTCTGGCCATATTTCTGTCATTGTCCACGTGTAAGATTTAACCAATTCAGAGCTAAGATACTTGACCACCGCAGTTTTGCTCGCATCTTGACCAGCCTTTAGCTAAGCATTCACTTAAATATCAAGAAAACAAGGGGAAAAAAAAAACTAATTCCATTATGGAAGTGCCTAAACAAGAGTAAGTTATAAATTAGTCCCTCTTTTTCTGATAATGAATTAATTAGTCCTCTTGGTTTCAATATCTAATTATTTAATCTTTTTAACCAATATTGATTAAGATTAATTTAATAATTTTTTATGTTATAAAATGAATTCTCTTCTCATCAATATTTTCATAATTTCTACTTATTTTTTCTTTTCTATTTCTTAAAAAGAAAATCAAAATAAATTAAAAATAGCAAAAAAGACTAAATGATTGGATTTTAAAACTAAAGAGGCTAATTAATTCCTTTCTCGAAAGGAAAGGGACTAATTGATAATTCAGTCACCAAAACAATGCATGTAGAACTGAATTAAAAATAAAAAATAAAAAAATACAATATAGAAAACAAAGTAATAAAATCTATTAAAAAATTGAGAATTCTATTAGAAAATCTCAAGTTTATAGAATAACTAAGTTCATGAAAATATTAAGAATAAATAGATGAAACCTTCCGCAAACTTCAATTTATTTAAAATTGAATATTTAAATTTTAAATTTAATTTTTAAAATTCTTAATTTTTTTTTTTTTTTGTTGAAATTTAATTCATATGTTCGTTTTCCATCAGAAATAACAGTAAATCTAGAAAAAAAAATTTAAATAAAAATCTCTTATATTCATAAATATCTCCCTCTCCTCCACTCTGTTCTCTCTCCTTCCTCGCCCCTCTCTCTCCATACTTAAAAAATAATAATAATAAAAATAAAAATAAATAAATAAAAACTCATAAATTAATCTCTTATATTCATTAGACTTGACCAGCTTACCTCTCACAAACCCAAATTTAGTAAAAGGATTATTATGGTTGAAAATTGATAGTACAAGTACACATTTGTGCCAATTTGGAAGTAGGGCTCTCCATAAAGAACAGGTATTGTCACCTATTGAGCAATGATAATCAAATGGAAGACTCCAACCGTCAACGTGTGCAAACATTAACTTAAAGGTTTGGAATTGTAGGACTGGTAGCTGATGAATAGCAAATGACGCTTCCATATTTTGAGCCATATACACACCTTTAAAAGCAAAATCTTGGGTTACTAGAAACCATACACGTTGCTGTTATTAGAAACTACAAAAATAGAGCTGAAGAAAGTGCTATTTAAATGGTAGTTTGGAAGCAGCGATCAACCTATCTGCAACTTCACTTCACGTGTTTGTTTATATCTTGTACGCTTGCTTGCTTTAATTAGGTGGGCATACACTACGTAAAAAAGGCTCTATGGAAAGCTCATTTGGAGTGAGGAAAGGTGCATGGACCGAAGAAGAAGATATACTACTTAGGAAGTGCGTTGAAAAATATGGTGAAGGAAGATGGCATCAAGTTCCTCTCAGAGCAGGTATCTAAATGTTTTCGTTCATGCTTGTAGATCAATATGGGGAGATTATTAACATAATTTTAAATAAAAGATAGTTATATAACATAACCACCTAGACATATTTATTACCGTTATACTTTGTTACAGCGAGTATAAAAGCATTTTATATAAATATCGACTTCATAAGTTATTATCATTATATAACATTATTGTGACTATTATTTAGTAAATAACAACGTTATATTATTATTTTTTTCATTTATTAATGTTTGCATGATATTAAGTTATTAGAATTGTTATTATTATTACTTTTCTATAATAAATTCAATTATTATTGTATGGTGTTAAAGTATATTTTTTACAATTATGATCGACTTTACAAGAAGAATTTCTGGCGTCTATGTATATGGAGAATAGTCTCTTGCGTGAGTGCAACTGTACAAGAGACAGACCATTTAACTGGCCAGATGAATGAAAAAGGTACATAGACATAATACACTGATTCTTGATTTTCATTTGCAGGCTTGGAAAGATGCAGGAAAAGCTGTAGACTGAGGTGGTTGAACTATCTTAAGCCAGATATCAAGAGAGGAGAGTTTTCTGTAGACGAAGTTGACTTAATTATCAGGCTACACGATCTGCTTGGTAACAGGCAAGTGAAAATGTCTATATCTCAGTACTATTGGTGAGATCATTTGCACCATGACATGCACATGTTTAACTTATCACAAACGATGAACAGATATCGTATTAAACAATCCATTATTCAAAAAAGAAAAAGAAAAGCGTAAATGAAGATCGGCATGCTATGTCATCTTCTAATACTCATGCACATATGTTGGGGTCATCCATGCCTTTGAATGTCTTTGCCTCTATTTATACAACACATGGAAAAATATATAAATTTGAAAAATCCAAATAGTTTATATTATTATAGCATCTATCACATATTAATATATATGCTCTTCAAATCCAAAAAAAAAAAAAAAAAAAAAAAACAAGATGTATAGGTAGCCTAAATATATTATAGCATTTCTATTATATGTACGCATTAGTAGAACATTGAAAAATCTATAAAGAAAAAAAAACTTACTTAAAAAACAGTTTTAACATTTGATAATTTTTATTCAATTTTGAAAAAACAAAAAAGAAGAAGTAAAACTAGACACTTTTGTGGGACAAATGAATAGTTAAAAGCCCATAGATAAAAATTTAATTAAACTAAAAATGAGGAAGGCTTCTAGTCAATATAAATTCTATAAAAGAACTAACGATTTCCTATCTAGATCTGAAAAAGAATGGTGAAAAAGAATATTCTTTTTTGATATAGAAGGGAATGTTTATAGTTATTTCTATTTCTTTTATGAGATTTCCGTCTAATTTGCGAACTTTTTGGTAACACTTGTAATTTCTAGGGCTATTCTAATTAACGGCCAATGAAATCCTTACCGACATATCCAAAGAAAATAATAGGGTTTTTAGAGAACAATACCTAGAGAAAAAAGCACAATTTTCATCCTTATACTCAGCTTATCATTTAGAACCTCATCCACAAGCCTTTGATGAACATGACACTACTTCTGCCCAAAACAGTTTTTGATAATCCCCCCAATAGTTATTGTCAATTCAGAGACAACAAGTACATTCATTAACAAAGACATGCCTTTTAAATAGTATGAGTCCCATTAAATTTCTCAAGTAGATGTAAAAAAACCATAAAGCATAGGAAGAAAGACCGATTCATTCCCATGTCCTACTAATTGATCGTCATTTTCTCATATGTCAAAACTAACAGGCCAGATATGTCTTCTAAATTAAAAAAACATATATTATATTACATGTTTTTTTTTATTAAAAGATAAATATTATTATTAAGATTATTCGGATTAAACACTTTTCTTTATATGCTAATCATTGAAAGATCTTCGAAACATAAGAAGATGATTTATTTTGCAGGCACACAAACCAAGTACATCAATTATATAATCAATTTAAATTGGAAGCAATCCAATCATCAATAATCCTAAAATAAAAATCCCATCACCTACCTCATCAAAGTAAAGCAAAACAAAAACACTTTTTCGGATTTCATAATTTAGTGGCCACCAATACCAGAATCAGGATCTGAATTCGCTGTCCAACTTGCACAAAGATTAGGGTCTTGATACACATAGCAAAATTGATGCTCCATTCTCGGTCCTTTAATAGCTGGATTTCATGGACTAAAGGATCTGCAATTAAACTGCATCTTGTCCCTTGTAAAGCATGGAACTATCCCAGTTAGTTGGATTAACGTTATTTAAATTTGGCTTTTTAAGTCATCAAATAGATTTGAGTGAATTATATCATAATCTCTATAGTTTAACGAAACTAGTTAGTTAATCCTTGTTAGGCTTATAAACTATATATTTAACTGATGATAGAGAAATTAATTTGGCTAGGAAAAGAAGGTATTATTGGAATAAAAAACTACGAAATTTGCTGTCAATGTCAGCCAATGAATTATTTAATTATTTCTTATAGGAG